AGCTGTGTGTCAATTAAAATTTTCTTAAAATCATCCCTACCTAAAATCCTCCCTAGGTCAGTCCCGCTTGCTGAAAAAGCCATGTCTTGAGGGCGCGGCGGAAAGTAAGGAGATCCGGAATCATCCGGATCTCGGGGGGTAGTTCGTTCCAGAGGGTGGGGGCACCCACAGAGAAGGCCCTCCCCCTGGGGGTCGCCAGTTTTAATTGAACTATAATAAATTCTATAGTGACTTCCCATTGGAACAATGTGAAATATTAGAACCAAAATGAAAGTCTGAATACTTATTGGGATACCAAATTAGGAAAAGCTAAAAAAGGAAGAAGGTGTGTTGGATATGTTCGCTTCCCTGAATTATTTGTAAAAATAATACAGGTAGTCCTCGACTTACGACCATAATTGACCATACTTTCTGTTGCTAAGCAAGACAGTGGTTAAGTGAATTCCCCCCCCTTTCTTGTCAAAGTTGTTAAGTAAATCACTGCTGTTGTTAAGTTAGTAATACAGTTGTTAAGTGAATCTGGCTTCCCCACTGATTTTGCTTGTCAGAAGGTGGCAAAAGGTGATCACATGACCCCTGGGACACTGCCACAGTCATAAATATAAACCAGTTGCCAAGCATCTGAATTTTGATCACATGACCATGGGGATGCTTCGGTGGTCGTAAATGTGAAAAACAGTTGTAAGTCGCTTTTTTCAGTGCCCTTGTAAATGAATGGTTGTAAGTTGAGGACTCTCTGTAAAGGCAGGAAATAAACAAACAAACAAACAAAAAACAAGCCACCTTGCTTCTTTTGGAGAACAATAACCATAGGCAATTCTGCTAAGTAAATTATAAAAGAGTTTGGGAAAGACCTCGGCCTGGTCAACTCTCAGTCAAAATAAGGAAGAACAATGATATATATTATATTGTCTATATAAAGCGCTGGGAAAATTGCCCATATTAGGGGCTCTTTGACAAGTCTATTAATATCATATTTGGAACTAGGAGAGGCAACGTTTTAAAAAATTGTTTTAATTGAACTATAATTAACAAACCTTTTTAGGTAACTAAGGTAACATAAATCCAAGATGCATAGAGAAAAAATATATAGAACATACAAACCAATCTACTAAAATGTAAACAAGCAGGTACTATACATGAACAAATTTACCATATATGCAAAATACTACCATATTGCAGTCTATTGAGGTAAACCATAAAATCCATTCAAATTTGATAAAATAGTAATTCCTGCCTCTATGTCTCATTATTTTGACTCTGTATTTTTTTTCTAATGTAGCAACTGAAGAGATATTTTTAATCTCATCACAACTATTAAGTTATCTAGAGTTTCCCAATGTTGGGCAATTATTATCCTAGTTGCTAAAATTAGATAGAAACTAAGCTCTTTTTTTTAAACTTGAAGTTTGGTCCTGTAAATAAATAAACAAATAAGTCTAACTCTGGGAGCATTCAATTCTTTGTTCAGTGACACTTATACCATTAAAATTTTTACAAAGTAAATAGCTTTATTGCATGACCACCACCAATAAAAAATAACTTTTTTTACTCCTTCTAAAATTTGGAAGAATAATTTGTGTGTGTATGTGTGTGCACGCGCGCCAATCTAACTGAAGCCAAGCACCAGCAATATATAATCTTCCACTTCAGTTTTTACAGTAAATTTACATTTACTTTGAACAATTTCTACCAATGTATCCCCTGTATAGATTTACCCAGAACAGATTCATAAGCTTTCTTTAAAGCATGGGATGAATGTCCTATTTCCATTTGCAGTAATATCCTATTAAATTTTTCTCTTTGGTTTGTTCTAAGTAGTTAAGTATTAAATTCTCAAATTTGGTAAGAGGCCATGTCTCAACATACATGGCTCCAACATTCTAAGTCTATTAACCATAGTGTTCAGCACCCTATTGCTAATCTCTAATTTAAAGTTTATGATAGTGGGGAAGATAGTGATTTATTATTGTGACAATTTAAAAAACCTGAGACTTTTTAAAAAGATATATATTTTATGTGACCTGTCTAACTTATGTAACTAGGTGAGATGAACATTTTGTAAAAGAAAGAAATAATGATTCTAGAAATAACCAATGTATGACTTTTTATAAAAATACATACATCTGACCAGCAGATAATATATATATAATAAAATGTTTGCATCAGTGGTGATATGCACAGAAGTACACATATATATTCTTATAGCCACTCCCAGACAGTGACTTACCTCAGTGTAGTCTGAGACAAAAAAAGATGTTGTCCCATCATATTCAACAAAATGCTTTGGAAACAGCCTAATCCATGTATCATCACCATAGAATATTATTCTTTTCCCAGCAACTTTGGCCTGCCATATTAAGTTGTCTTCCATCAAGGCTGGAGAGTTAAGGTTCATGATTATATCAATGAAACCTGGGATGCTACCAGTCATAAGTGCCTGCAAAGGAATCCACCAAAAGGAAAGGAGAGATGGATCAAGCATTAGATGTGGTTTCAATAGAACTAAAACCTGACATTGGACAAGGACCCACTTCTGCATGTGCATACATAAATATTGCAGACAGTCAACACCTTTAAGCAAATGGCTACCCTTAATTCAGTATAGGTGGCAGGACTACAAGTACTGAATTCAGGACTATGGTACTGAATGTAATGCGCTTGGTATGGGTAACTTGAGTACTCCAAGAAGCTGGTGATTTTTTCTCTCTCACTGTTTTACTCACCTCAGATATCATACCAGAGCGTACCATCACAATCTGAGAAAAAACACATTGGAGCAACACTAAAACCATCGGCATTGCTACCACCCGCCACGCTCATGAGTTCATCGAAGCCTGGCATTCCACAAGAAATTCCATCAACAGACACATTGATCTACAACCAGCCTACAAATCCCTCAGAATCCAAACCAACCGCACAGCCAATCAGAGACAGCACCGACCCTCAACCAACCCACGCAAGCCCCCCACCAGCAGTTCACCTCCCAATGAGCCTGATCTGATATAACCTCTCCATCACAAGATCCATCACAAGCCTCTCACTGATGATTCATACCTGACCCATCAGAAGACCCTCACAAGACCCACACCCACACCTGAAGCCCTTATAAACAGAATACTGACAATGACATCCCTAAACTCTGCTGAAGATGTTACCTAACCTGGTAATGAAACATTCATAAACTTGGAGAACGAACCTTCATCCTCAAAAAAAACTCATGTTGTCAAAAAGAACATATTTCTGCAATAAGCATTAAGCATACTGCTTTATGATATGTACGGTGTATAGATTTAGCAGAAGACAACGTATCACTCATCAAGAAATATTTATTTCCAAGATACCAGAACTTACTTTAATTCGAGGCATAGTGACAGTAGGCGCCTT